AGAAGGGAAAAAAAAAGAAACAAGAAACAAATTTTCTAAAGGTGGCTTTAAAAAGACTTGGAAGGACCTCCTTTTCTCCCTTTAGTTTTCAGGTCATGTGCAGTGAGAGATGAGGTATAAAAGGTAAGTTGAGGCCAGAATAGAGAAGGCGTTGAATGCCAGGCTGAGGGGTTTGCAGTTTTGTACTGGGGAGGTGACATGATTAAAGCAGGGCTTAATAGCTATCTTGGCACCTGAAGGGCTGTCACGGGAAAGGAGACTCTATTTGTTCTAAGTGCTTTACAATTATTATCTCATTTATTCTTCTCAACAACCTGGGAGGTAAGCACCATGATTATTCCCATTTTACAGATGAGGAAACTGAGGAAAACAGGTTACATGATTTGCCCAGGGTCACACTGTTAGTAAGTGCCTGAGGTTGGATTTGAATTTGGGTCTTCCTGACTCCGGGTTCTCCACTATGCCATTCATCAGATATTTAATAGTAGAGATCATTTATCATCTATAGACTTTCTCCATCATGCATGCCACGGAAGCTTCTTCACCCAGGAAGGTGGATTTATCACACTGGAAGTGCCTTTGTCCCTGCATCTTCTTCTTCTGATTGGCCAGTTCCCCCAGAGCCTCCGTTTTAAGGGGGATATCCAGGCCAGTCATGTCTTTGTACCCCTAGAAATTAGAAGAGAGCCTAGCACATAACAGGCTCTAAATAAACTCTCATTGATCAGCAAATTTGTAACAGGACAAAGTGGAGCTGTAGCTATCACCTTATGTCATGTGATGGCCTTGGGTGGAATGCTTTGTTACAGAAAAAAATGCAGGCGCCTATAATAATATCACCCTAGCCCTGTAACATAGCATCCTGTTCTATATTTGCTGGCTTTTCCAGGTGTGTCTGTCCAGTCTCCCCCTCCATAAAACTGTGAGTTCCCCTGAGGTGGTGACATTGTGTTTTGCATTCACCTTCTTCTCCCCCATCCCCAGTGCCTAGCACAATACCAGCACAGATCACGTGTTCAAAGAATACTTATTGAAATAAATTAAATTCTGATAAAGAGAACCCTGGTTTGGGGTGGGAGGTGGGAACTCAATCACCTAGATAATCACCCCGATTCTTCCCTTCATTTGGGCTTTTGTGGACAAAGCGCACATCAGTCTTTAGCACAGCTTGTAACAGGCAGTGCCGCTTTTTAGAGAAGCATTCTACAAGGGTATTAACAGGACCATCATAAAAGGCACAAGAAAGAATGTCTTGTCTCTCATCTATGCCCTGCCCAGAATCCACTCACCTGGGCAAGCCATCTGTCTAATGTTGCAACTGCAGGCATTTAGGGTGACTGGTAAATCAGGGTACTCCGATATATAGGGGCTGTGGCTAGGTGCCTTTTGGGTACCTTCTCATTGATGACGGCTCTCACCACTTGTCAGGACATCGAGTTGTTTCAGTTTGGGACAGCAGGGAAGTCCACAAACTCCCAATAGAATCAGCCATGAGAGTTAACAGTCCTGCCGGGTCACCAGGGTCAGGCTCAGATGAAAGCCAAGGATGGACCCATCTCACTCCCAGGGAAAGAGGTGCTGCTGGATATTTAGGACATGAAGAGTTTGGAGATTCCAAACCTGGTCCAATGATGCTCTTATTTGTCTCTTTCATGACACATCCCTCTGCTGTTGCTTTTTATCTTTTGCTCATGTTTCCAAGGACACCGATACTTTTGTTCAGGGTTTTCATTCCCAGAGAGCCGCTGCCACCAAAAAAACAAAGAGCTTGGAATCCTCTGAGGGCTATAAAGGAGAAAAGGTTCCCCCCTGGGTTTCAGTGGCTGCATGTTAAATTAAAGGGGGCAGAATAACTTGATGACCTCTAGCATCCCTTCTAACCCTGTTGTTCAGCCATTTTTCAGTCTGGTCTGATTCTTGCGACCCCATTTGGGGTTTTCTTGGCAAAGATACTGGAGTGGTTTGCCATTTCCTCCTCCAGCTTGTTATACATATGAGGAAACTGAGGCAAACAGGGTTAAGTGACTTGCCCAGGGTCACACAGCTAGTAAGTGTCTGAGGCCAGATTTGAACTCAGAAAGACGAGCCTTCCTGACTCCAGGTCTGGTGCTCTATCCACCTAACTGCCTTCTTCTGACCCTAATAGTCCTAAAAGTCTATGATTCTAAGCTCTCTTAAGAAGGAGTGATAGGTAATATTTCAGCCAAACTGGTCTTCTTATTTCTCATACGTGACACCCATCTTTCTTTCTGAACCTCTGCCCAGGCTGTCCCCCATGCCAGGAACACATTCCCTCCTCGCTTCTGCTTCTTACGATCCTGAGTTTCCTTCAAAGGTTGCCATTTTCTATGTGAGGCCTTTCCCAATCTGCCCTCTTCCGGGTTTCCTTTTCTATTTCCTTTATATTTTGCATATGCTTTTATATGTCCTTATTGTCTCCCCTGATAGAATGCAAGCTTCTTGAGGGCAGGGATGATTTCATTCTTGTCTTTGTACCACTAGTGTCTCACACACAGCAGGCATGAAATAAATTATAGTTTGTATTGATTGATTGATTTTGGGCAGAGGAATTAAGGATGTTCACAAGAAGATAGGGTAAAGACAGGATGATTCCCCCAAACCCAAAGCAGTCAGTTTTCTCTGCAAAGTGAATGTGTCTGAGATGAAATATTCCTACACTGTTCTGTCTATCACAACTGAACACATCACTTGTTAAAGCTGTTACATTGGTAACATTTGTGTATCTTGGAATGTGGCCCTGGGATAACAAATCTGATTTGGAGATGTAGAAACCCAAGGAATCAATAAAGAGGATGGAAAGTCTACTTTGGTGATAAAACATCGTGTGCCTTAATCAGCAGAGCTTCTCAGAATTTCCTACGAACCTTTTAAAATGTCAATGGCTGTGTACACATTGGCAAACCCAAGTGGGAAGGAAGGCTGAAACATTTATCTCTGTTGTTTAGGCCAAAAACTCTACAATGGAAAAAAAATTGATTTGGGATCAGTTAGATTGTTTGTCTACACTTTTGCTTTTTCCCATGTATGCTAAAATTCCTCTTAATGTTGGAGTCAATGGAGTCATAAAATGGCAATGACTTCAGCAATCATCTTGTCATATTATAGAGGAATTAGAGACCCTCAGACTTTAGCCATTGTAGATAACAATGACTTGCCCAAGTCCACACAGAGTATCAGTGCCAGGGTTGGGCTTAGAACCCAGATCTCCTGACTTTCCCCCATCCAGTGCTCTGTAGAGTACAAGTCCTGGAGTCAGGAACACCCAAGTTCAAATCCAGTCTTAGATGCTAGCTATATGAACCTGGGCAAGTCACTTAACCTCTGTCAGCCTCAGTTTCCTCAACTGTAGAATGGGGATAATAATAGCACCTACAAGTGCTATTTCTCAAAAGCACCTAGCATAGTGCCTGGCACATAGCAGGTGCTATAGAAATACTTATTCCCTTCTCTTTCCTTCCTCCCTTTCTTCTTTCTACTATGGCCCCATGCTCACAGCTGTTTGCCTACCCTGATAGGAAGATAATGAAGCTAATATTAGGGGCCTAACCAAAGTGTAATCTGTAAAGTGCTAGCAGCCTGAATAACTATTATTTTCTACATCAGAGAAAGAACCATGGGGCCCTTTGTCAAGTTTCCTGGCAGGTGTGAATATGGGAGTGGGGAAGTAATGTGTTAGGAACTTCAGAATTAGTTAGCTACTGGTGAAAGAAGGGAAGGCAGTTAGCCTAGTTAACATCCCCTGAACATAAAGACTATATTTGAGATATGAATTTCAAATTATAGCTTTTCTTTGAAGAAAAAAATCCCTGTGAGTTCATCCTCATGAGCTTATGTTATGCCTCTGTTGCTGGTGATTTATTTTTGCAAGCTGGACATTCTAGATTAGATTTAATTATTTATATGTTTTTTCTCTGCCTTTAGAAATTTAAGTCATTCTTTAAGAAATATGGGCCAGAACCCCAATAAAGTTCCCCCCAAAGAGAAAAAAATATACTAAACCAGTGCTGGAAATCGGGCTTTGTTTTTAAGGCTAAGAAGGGGAGATGATGGTTTCTACTATCCTTTGTCCATCATTAGTAAACTTAGGGCAAGACTGGCTCATGTGATTTCAATTCCTTAGTGACTCCTTTAGAGGTCTCAATATCGTCATGGAAAGAGTGTTGGACATAGAGGAATTAGAAGCACAATGTTGGAAGGCTGGCTCCAGTGAGCAAGATGGTGACCCTATCATAATGAGTGGTTCCAATGGGGTTGAATTTTGGGTGGACATCCCAGGGAGGCAGAGTTTAGTTAATACAAGGAAGAACTTCTTGGTGTCATTGAAAGAGCACTGAACTTGTGAGTGAGAAGACCTGGGTCTGAGTCCAAGCTCTAACGTGTTTTAGCTGGGTGACCTTAGGAAAGTCACTGGAGTCTGAGAAAGTCTGTTTCCTCATCTGTAAGATGAAGGAATTGGATTATATTGCCTTGAAGGTCCCTTTCAGTTCTAAATTTATGCTACTATGATCTGTAAAATGAGGGAATTGAATCCCATTATCTTTAAGGGGGTCCCTTCCAGCTCTGATATTCTGTGAGTAACTAATAAAAAAAACAGGTTGCCTTGGGAGGTGGTGAGTTCTCTCTCTCCAGAGGTCTTCAAGTAGAAATGGCCTTGATGAATATTTGTTGGGCAGAGTTAGGCAGAGAGGAGTCATGCTTTAGGCAAAGGTAGAAATAGATAACTTCTGAGGTCCTTTCTATGAGCATTTTTTAATTCAGTAAGACTTAGATTTAAGTTCTGGATTTGATATATGACCTCAGGTCTATGAGCCTTAGTTTCCTCATCTGCAAAATGGGGATAACAAAAACAGGATTCGTGTAAGGATTATATGAGATAATGGATGTAAAGCCTGGTGTAACTTTCATCTATTATTACTTGAAAAGTTTATAGATCATTCCAATCCCCTTCTTATAGAACACATACAAAAATGAACAATCAATTAATCTAAGTAAGCATATTTATCAATTGGCTGCTCATATGCAATTTCTTTTTTTTAAAAGGAGAGGTAAAATTCTCCTAGCAAAGCATTTAGAAATGAATACAGTCCTCTTATTTTTTAAAGCATTTTCAGTATTACTCAGACAGAGAAAACAATTATTTATCTGGATTTACTACCAGGAACCAAGAGGAAGAAAGCCAGCAGAAACCATAAAATATTGAGTATGAACATAATTTTAAAAACATAATGTCACAAACTATTCGCAGAATTGCCTTTCTTAGATAAATGCCCTCAAGGGACCTTGTCCCCTTTGCATCTTGGAGAGTTCACAACTTTAACTAGAAAATAATTCCTCCAGCAATAAACTGGTCCCCAACATCACACGATGCATCCCAAACATAATCATTCTGAGTTACTGCTTTTGTGTAAGGATGACCAGTAAGTTCAGATCGGAAAGCTTAAGAGGAATATTTCTGGAGCTCGATCAGGCCTGTCCTTTTTGTTTAGTATGGATTTATATCCCAATAGACCCTCTGGAAGCTAAGGAGACAGACTTGTGTAATGGGCCTAAAACAATAACCCGGCAGCCATGGACCCCTCTGTAGAAGGGAGAGGGCAACAGGCCTTCTTTTGGTTCTCAGTGATAGTTCTAGCATCTCAAAGGCAAAGACGATATAAATGACACATAGGCTACTTATCTATCCGTATTTAGTTCATTTTAGAGCTGGACCCTTTAAAAGCTCCATAAGCACCACAGCAGGCTGGTTATATACATTGAGCATTTTTCTCTTACATACTTTCCCCTATAATTAAGACTTGCAGGCTGCCCCTCCCCCCACCCTTCCAAACACACGGGTACTATTGCTCTTCCTATACAACATAGCTATCAGTTTTCCTGGGGTCATGCTACGAGTCACCCCAAGGCACCAGAACAGGGGTGGGAAACCTTTGGCCTGGAGGCCCTCAAGTACTGCCTTTTGACTGAATCCAAACCTCACAAAACAAATCCCCTTAATAAAAGGGTTTGTTCTGTAAAACTTGGACTCAGTCAAAAAGCCACATCCAAGGACCTAGAAGGCTGCAGGTTCCCCACCCTGCACCAGAACAATCCAGACCAAGTAAACCGCTAAGCTTTGGTCTAAATGACTTTCCAACCCCCACCTGAATTAGCTGGTAATTGCTGCTAGATAGACCTGGCTAGCAATGGCCTTAATGATCAATTAGGAAGTGGGTGGAAAGGAGTTTTCTTTGTTTCAAAGTTCAAGGATCCCACTTTCTGGAAACTGCTGAGACAGTCTCCATTCCATGTATATAAACCTAGATGTATTTTTCCAACTATGATGAATTGGGTACTTAGTTGGAAGGAAAATACAAGGCATTTCCATTATAGGGAATAAAGAAGAAAAACTACTTCCAGAATTTGCCCCAAAGTTACATTTAAAGTCAGGCCTCACATTATTGCCAATCTAAAGGAACTGAGTCATTTTAGTTTGTAAAAAATATTTGAGGTACTATTCTGAACACATATAATATGATTTGGTTCAAATTTCAACTCCCCTATTTTAGTGTGGACTCCTCAATCCCATTGTGTCCTGCACATATGATGGAACTGACCTCCACTCACCTTCTCACAAATACTCCATCCCTCTGAGATGACTTAGGAAGAAGGGGAGGAAGTTTGAAAGGTACACTAGGGTAGGCTTTTTCTTTGTTCCCTTGGCCTGGATCTGTGATTTCTTCAATGTAAGGGATTGATTCCTGTCATGGAAATTCCTTCCTCTGATGTAATTTGGCAGCTCATATGTAACTCAGAGACTTTGAGAATTGCCTGGGGCACTCAGATTAAACAATCCATCAGGTCCCTGATCATTTAGCTAGTGTGTAATAAAGGTTGGACTTGAATCCAGGTCTCTGATTCTAAGGCTAGCTCTCTATGCATTATATTGCTTCTCTTTTTTGACTGAAAACCAATAAAAGTCTAGTAAATGTTGTCTAAAGAAAGGTGTCCACCCATCCACCCATCACAACTCGGATTTTGTTTTAGGCTTTAAAGACCTCTTTTCCTTAAAGGGTCCCAGTGCCCATATTGGGGAAAAGGAGGGGTGAGAAATGAAAGTCACAGTTAAGTTCTATAACATTGTAAAGGCTGGGGTGCACTTTAAAAGCTAGAGATCCTTTTGGAACCCAGAGCTAGATCTCCAGAAAGTACCTAATCATTTCCTTCCAAAATTTTAATTACATAATTTCTCTGAGTTACAGTAAGTAATCCCCGCTAGCATTCAGTGTAGTGAAAATAGAGTTCAATGCAGTTAGGATTCCTGTCCAGCTGCCTCAGCTCTGAGGTGGAAAGTGAGTCGCTGGCACATTCCAGGATCCAGGTCCATTCTTTCTTCATTCCACATTCCTGTATTTGGTAAACAAATTGTAAAGCACTCGAAGGGTAGACTTCAAGTCACAATTGACAATATCTGTAAATAGAGAAAGAAAACAGAAGCTGAGCTGCTTTGGCTTTACAGGAGGAAACTTGACAGTTGCAACAAGAAATAAGAAAAAGTTATGCTCTGCCTCCTGCTTTCTCAGTCTCATGCTAGGTATTGGGGGAAATGGAAGAGAAGTTTTAAGTTTACACGTTTTGGGAGCTTATGTATTAGCTGGGAAAAGAAGATTAGCAGAGAGAGAAACTAGAACATAATACTAGTCAACGTTTAATTAAATGCTAAAAGGAGAGATCTGGATGACAAGTGCTTTTCATCCACTTGTTTTTTTCTGTGTGGATAGTTAGGATAAACTCCTTTGAGGGATTTATGGCTTTCATTTAGGATGCTTTGCAATGTTCTTGCATGGGCTTGATAAAATCAGCAGTGTCATCCATAAGAGTAGCATTGTGGAAGACTTTACCATCTTCAGTTAGACAGATAACCCACAAGTAGGTCCATCAGTACATATTTATTTTGTATGGATATTATGAATGAGTATAAGTTGGACCTAGAACTGAATGGGAAGAGGACAATGGGATGTACTATAGGATTAAATGCAAACTCCTTAACCTGGCATTCAGGGCCCTTTACATTCTGACTCTAATCTATCTTTCCAGCCTTATTTCACCCAGCTTCCACATGCTCTCATGAAACCAGAAGATCTTCCATCAAAATTGGACTACTCATCCTTGCTAATCTTATTTCTCCCCTCTCCCACTGCTGTGAATTTGCACATTCCTGGAACAGACTCCACTTACATCTCTGCCTGTTGGCAGCTAGATGGCACAGTGTAAAGAGCATTGGACTTGAAGTCAGGAAGATTTGAGTTCAAATCCTGTCTCAGACACATGCTAGCTGGGCAATAGGGATAGAACTAGCATCTACCTCATAGGGCTGTTCTAAGAATCAAATGAGATAACTCATGGTAAACCTTAAGGCACTATAGAATTGCTACTATTATTGTTGTTTTTATAATCTTCTCCCTTCAGAGCCCAGGCAGCCCTGATTGCTTCAGCTAAAAGTGATCATTGCCTTCCCCCACTCTCCTCTTCTCTTCGACTTCTATGTATTAACATTCTGTATCATTGTTACTCAGGAGTTGGTCAAACTCCCCTCCCCTCTCCCCACTAGAATTTAGGTTCCGTGAGTGTAGGGGACATGTCATTTTTCTATCTTTGTATCCCCAAGTCCCAAGCACAGTGTCTTACACATAGTAAGATGTTTAATAAATATTCGTAGAAATATCTAAATGCAGCTGTTTTATAGGAAGTTGGGGGAGTCCAATCCAGGCACAGGAAAAAAATACATAGAAGAAGGGTGTGATTAGATATGCAGTCTAAAGGGAAAACAGTGCCATCTGGAGCAGGGGCACGGGTGGGAGGTCGGGGCTGGCAGTATACATTTAAAAACCATCTATTGCCATAGAGGCATTAAATGAAAACTGAGGAAAGAGAGAGTGTTGAGCCAGAGTACAAGAGGCCCTATGACCAAGCCAGCACAGTTACAGATAGAGGGATCATCCTGGATTTTTTTCACCAGGGAATTTAATGACCATCTCTCCTGTTTCCAAGAAGGCTGATAGGGAGACAACTTATCTGGGCAGACTTTGGGGCTGGGGGATTAATGGAAATGAACTGTGGCTCTAGGCCATATAAACATATCATCTTTAAAGCCTGAAGGCCTAATAAATTATATGATTAACTACTTAATGCTGCTTTCCTAGTAACTCTTTTATTGCCTTTTCTCATACCCTTTGGGGCCCTTGTCCAATAGGAAAGTGTCAAGGATTTAGGGAGTCTCTGGATTGGGGGTGCAGAGTGCCTGGCTGGCAGACAGAGTCAGAGGGGAAAGATGACTGAGGGCCCAAAGTGAAGGAAGAAAGAAAATGAACCATAAACCAGTCTTCCTTGTTCAGTCCACTTGAATAAGGAAAGAAGAGGTATGTTATTATTTCTCCGACAGTTCAGTTCTGAGAAAGGGTTGTTTAGACTCCTGGGATGCTGGAGCAGATGAAGATGTCACAAATCTTGGAGGCCAGCTCCTTTGTCTTACAGATAGGGAAATAAAACCCAGAGAGGGTCAATGATCTGTCCATTGTCACTGAGCTAGTAAGTCATAGAGCTGAGAGTGAAACTTAGGTCTCCTGACTTTCATTCTGGAGATCCTTTCATTGCAATGATTTTTCATATGCCTCCTCTAATGGTATTATTAAAACAGATCAATTCATATTTTCCAGCAACAGCAGACATAACCAGCAGACCAATGAGCATGTCTCACATTTTCAGTCCTCGACATACCAGTGAACTTAACAAAATACCAGGGCTACATTGGGGTGAAATGCAGGAACAAGAAGGGGAGGAGGTTTGACATTTTCAGTGTAAAAACACTCATATCCCACAATCTCAGATTCTGAGTCTGAGAGGAAAAAAATAAAATACTCAGGAGGCCATTCAGTTGAACTCATACCTGAAAAATAATAAACAATACCATCTAGCATTTATATGGTATTTTAAGGTTTGCAAAGTCCCTTAAAAACATCTTATTTTATCCTCACAATAGCCCTGGGAGGTCGGTGCTATGATTATCTCCATTTTACAGAGGAGGAAACTGAGGCTGACAGAGGTTAAGCAACCTGCCCAGGGTCATGAAGCTAGTAAGTGTCTGAAGCAGGATTTGAGTTCAGTTCTTTCTGACTCCATGCCACTCACCCACCTAGCTATAACCAAGCAAGAACCGTACAATATACCTGACAGAGAGTCTCTAGCCTTTTGCCTGAAGAACTCCAGTCCGGGGAACCTCCAGCCTCTAGTGGCAGTCCATTCTACTTGAGGGCCTAGTTCCAATGGTAAGGAATTTTTTCCTTCACATCAAACCTAAATTTGCTAATTCTTTGTACCTCCTACCAGTACAATGTCTCTTTTTACCTCCTTGGGGGCAAGCAGGACTGGTGGAATCCTGTGTGACATTTAAAATGTTTGAGAGACAGAATCTCTCTCTTAGATCAAAGACAGTAATGGCGGGTAGGCTCAGGCTTATACGGAAGAGAAGTGTTTGAGGGTGATCATCAATTCTGATTGTTTATCAATTGATGAGAGAATGAATATTACAATGAGGGGCTGGAAATATTCTAATGAACTTTGATTTTATCATTTACTTCTAAGTTACCCTAGCCTTGGGCAATCTGCTCAAAGAATTTATCCCCACCCAAACCAAAGCACAAAGGCTTCCCCACCTGGGTGGGGTCTGAACAGGAAAGAAAGTTAGTCCAATCTCATTATCAGTAATGCCCTCCAAGAGAAAGAACTTTTGAAATAAGGGAGGAAACTCTCCGTCACCCGCATCATTGGTTATTGATAATAATTTCTTTTGGTCCAGATGTGTGTGTTCATTTGTTATAGGGGGATTCCAGGTGAGGAAGCTCCTCCTGCCATCTGTAAAATGAGGAGATTGGACCAGATTGCCCCTAAGGTCCCTTCCAGGTCTAGATGTTTGCTCCATCAATTCTAGGGACGATGCAGATCAAATTTAGAGTGTTAGATTACTGCCTGGGAAGTGAGAAGGTAAATAAATGGCCCACAATGGACCAGACTATCAGAGGTGGGATTGGAACCCAGGTCTTCCTGACTCTGAGACTGGCTCTGTGCCCACGACGCCAGCCTGTCCCTTTTGGTTCTTTTACCTTGGATCTCTTTGTCACGTTCATGGAGATAATAATGGCTAACATCTATTGGGTGCCTTAAGGTGGGCAAAATCCCTTTACATATATTATCTCATCCTTATAAAATCCTGTGAGGTGGGTGGTACCATCATCCCCATCTTACAGATGAGGAAAGTGAAGCTGAGCAGTGACTTGCCCAGGGTCACACAGCTAGTTACAGGATTCGAACAGAGGTCCTCCTGACTTCAAGTTCAGTGCTCTCCCAATCATACTATATTGCCCAATGCATTGTACAATGGGAAGAGTGCTATACTTGGACTTCCAAGACCTGAATTCAAATCCCTGCTTAGTATCTATATGATCTTACACAAGTCACTCAACCTCTCTAGGCCTCGGTTTCATCATCTGTAAAATAACAGGGTTGGATTAGGTGCCCTTTAACTCCTGATCTTGGATCTCATGATGATGGCAGTGGCTATGTTATAAATTAAAAACCAATGACAATCTATCAGTGACAAACACCACGGCAAACGTGAGTGCTTATCACAGTGCATGGGGGCACACAGTAGGTACTTATTTCATGCACATTGATTGATCAAGGAGGAGTACAATTTTTGCCATTCCAAGTAGTCAGTTTGTTGCAAAGGGAGGTTCAAGCCCATTTGGATGGTGTAGAGCCTGGGTGGGCCATGGCACCACATTTAAGTCAGGTAAATTCATCTTCCTAAGTTCAAATCTGGCCTCAGACACTTACTAGCTGTGTGACCCTGGGCAAGTCACTTAACTGTGTTTGCCTCAGTTTTCTCATCCGTAAAATTAGCTGGAGAAGGAAATAGCAAACCACTCCAGCATCTTTGTCAAGAAAACTCCAAATGGGGTCATGAAGAGTCAAAAACAACTGAACAACAACAAAATTAGGAGACAAGATAGCACTGCTTTCATGGTTTTTCAAGACAGGATAAGAGCTCAGCCAAAGAAAAGGACTGCAAAGAAAGACTGAAAAATGAATTCTTGACCTAAAACCCCGCCAATCTGCCCCGAGATATGCTTCTCCAGTGGCCTATCTGCCTTCTAAACAAGCTCACATCTTTGGCCACACTGGTGCCTTTTCTAAGCCTTACGGTATTTCCTCTTCAATCCAGCATGCAGGTGGAAGATATGGGAGAACTGGAAGGATACTTGACAAAAGGGGAATAGAAAAGTTATTATAATAAGATCATTTTCAATGTTCTATCACTGACTGGAAATTTTAGGTGTGGGCATTATGCCCAATGTAACAACACATAAAACAGATGTGTTTTTCCATTCATGTTAGTCGGGAAGTTTCATATTA